TGTAATTTTCTCCTTTCCAAGCTCTCGACCAGCTGTAATTGAATTTTTCCGTATAGTTTCTATTAGCGCATACCTGTTCTGTTCACTGTTGCTGCCGATAATTTCCGTACTTAAAAGTTACTATTATTTGTATTTAGTATTATTATTAATGTTTCTAATTTCTATACCTATTTCCATTGTCTGGGCCATTTACTCCTGGAACTTTTTTCATAATCCTATACGTGAGTAAATATTTATGTTAAATTATTCTCAATAGATTTCTAAGGAAAAAAGCTTTTTACTAAAATTCGCAATCGCTATCCGATTAAATCTGGGTCTGAAAGGGTTAACGCGATTTTATACTAAACAAATGAACAGTATCAAACACTAATAACATTACTTCACGTGATTAATGTATAATGTACATATTATATTATCAGAGTTAATTATTTCAGAAATCTAATTAAATCAATTCCAATTCATCTTATAATTGCCCCTAATATAAATTTTATTTTAGAAAAAAAGATACTTTACTTTATTATATATTTATATCTTTCAATCATTCATCCTCTAATTTATTTATGAGAAGAGTTCTGTATTAACTCCCCGATTATAAATAGTTATCAACATTATCTTTGACGTATTATAATCTTTCATTAGGTGTATTGTATAATATATTGAGTAAGTTTTATAAAATATTCCCCAAAACACAACCATTGAAAAATTCTACTCATACCTATATTAAGAAGTAAATTAAATATTGACTGTCCAATATTTGAATTGCTTAATCGGTAGTGTACTCAAATAAAAAAAATATCATATTTTTATTTGTTTATGGTGGACCTCGGATATTAATGCTAAGGAATGGGGAGAGAGACATTTTTTAACAATGGAAAATTATAAGGATACAAATTCATTAGGTATATATATAAAAAAGTATTCAGTTGTTGCTTGACTTTCTTGTGATGTCCTTGTGGTGGAAACTTAAATTATTTCTTTCGGTATTTGATTCATTAAAAATTTCCTTTCATCCAACTTCTACGTTTTTCAATTATAATGAATTGTTTGAACTTTAGTCGACGGAGACCTTTGAACGACTTGGGATATTATAAACTTCTTTGAGTAGTTCATCCCTCAGTAACACTAGACAAAAGGGTCGATACAATTTCTGATCCAAAGTCTTAAGTTTTTTTTTTTTTTAGAACGGATAAAAAATAGTAAAAAGTGGGGCAAATGAGATTTATAGACACTATTCAGAGATTCCTGGATTGAAATTGGAAATTCTTTCATGACCTTATAACCATTTTTACTTATTTTCCTGGTCTATTCTGAGCTTTAAAGAACAATCGTTTTACTAAGCCTTTGTGAACATCTTTGAGTATAAAAGTGAACGATGATTTGTATTAATATTATTTGTTTGAGAATATTGAAATATTCAGCAATCACGAGTGGTTTAAAGTTCCTGTATATACAAAAAAACATTGTGTCAGGGATAAAAAATACATAGTTATAATAATGTTATTATTAAGAATTAATATGCTGTTAATCTGAATTTTGTATTGTTTTGTTTTTATTATGTAAATGTCAAGCTATCATAGTAACTATGATATACTAGAGGCTTTAAAAAAATAATAATATAAATAATAATAATGTTTATTGTATTTTATTAAAAACATATAATAATAAAAGGGGGACGAGGTGGCCGAGCGGTCAACGCGTCGGCTGCGGCGCTGCCGGTTCGGGTTCGATCCTCGACCACTGGGCGGCATTTTTCTCCGGGCAAGTCACAGTGTCCGGAGAACAAGTGCCGCCATCCCCCACTCCGGGGCATGGCAGAAACCTATGGGTGCCCCATTCGAAATTCTGCCAAAACACAAACACTCACATGTAAACCCCCACCAACAAAAAACCCTACCATCACCACCTTACAACCTACTAACAGCTAATGGCCATAGATGCCGGGCTTAAGGATCAATAAAAAAAAAAATAATAATAATAATAAAAATGGTAATAATATTATTATTAAAATTATTGGTAGGTTTTTAAAACTATATATTATCATGTTTTATATTAAATGACTTATAATATATATATATATATATATATTACTATCTGTGAAACCTGACTTCACCAGGAAAATAAGAAACGGTCATAAAATAAGGCTCTATATTTTTGTTTATGTTCTAGTGTGCCTACCCCAGTTCACCGCCGACTAATCGTAATTGGTCGTATGCTATACTATCTGTCAAACCCGACTTCGCCCTTGTAAAAATGAACAAATATAGAATATAGAGCTATGTAGGTGTATCTTGGTTTTAGTGTCCCTATCAGTTCACGGTCAAATCGCCGTCGGTGTACGTCGCTTTGTGAACTAATTCGACCGATATGGACAATTCGGCTGTGGCGGTCGGCGGATTGTATACCTTTAGCACTTGGTATATTTTCAAACGTAGTTCAAACTTCTCTCTAAACTTTCCTGATATCTCTGAGAACAATTTGAAATTTTGATCGAAATCGGTCGAGTAGATTTTGAATGTGTATAAGCTATACAAACATACATTCAACTCTCATATTATTTGTCTTAAGATATTACAGATTCTTGAAGGCCAAAAATTCGAAGACTTGATTTCACTCTTTTTAAGTGTAAATTATATTATATTTTAATGTATAGCCAAAGCGAACAGGGTTGTCCGTTAGATTCGCTTGTGATTTTCCGAGCAATATATTATCAGGTATAGGCTCTACCTGTGATAGATCGCAAACCACATATTGTGTTCTGTACGTAAGTGTAATTGTATAATTTAACTCTAAAATGTCAAATTAAACCAAGTTTTTACTTAATTCAACCTACGACGGATTAATACAAAATCCTAACCGAACTGTACTAAAAAAAAACCCCCCAAACATTCGCGTATGTATAGATAAAAATAAAAATAAAAATAAGAAAAAAACAATGCAAAAAATTGGTCCACCGAACCAGTGGTTCAAACTTGAGACCATCTGTACTAAAATGCATATAAGTGCCACTTCGCCAACAGGCTTATAGCTTTAATAATACTAATAATTATTAAAAATCAATACAAGCAACCGCATTAAAAACAAACATTTCCATAGTAATTCTCAAAATCCCTGTTAAAGCACCTCCCCGGGTTGGACCTCTAATTTACCCTTTTTTAAGTAGCTTATCTTCTCCTCTAAGGTCTAATCTATCTCTTTACCAAATTTCATCGCAATCGGATGAATAATTTAGGTATATATAAAGGAAAGACAGGAAAACATTAATTTTTATATACATATAATATATATTAATATTCTAATCTTTAACAAATGCAGCCATTTATAAACAAATACAAAATTGTCGATTTCCATTGTGAATCTAAAAATCCTTGTTTGAGCAGTTCTTTAAAATGTGAATTTTGAAAAATCCTTTCTTAGCGCACTACTAAATTAAGTCTCCAGCTATTATAATTTAAGTTCTAAGTAGATCAATCGGACAGAACAAGCTCGAATATATTATATACTATTTTGACCAAGATAAAATTTTTTTTTAATTTGTCTGTAACCTATGTTACTATAAATTGTGTCTCACGCATGAATTTCGTCGAACAAAAAATTATTTAATTTTCGCGAGTGTGAGTAGAAACGAAATTCATGTGTGAGACCATATATAGCAACAATATATAGCAACTTATATGGGGTTGTTAATATAAGTTTAAAACCCCACCCAGTCCCAAAGAATCTGTTAATATAACTTTAATTAAAATCGATCCAGTAGTTTCTGAAATTAGCCGTTAGTAAAAAACTAATTTATTAAAATCAAGCGATCGAAAAAGACGATAATACACGTCATATTATTATAATCAATACTTGTTGAAAATATACACTTATATATCACAATTTATGAATGCCAATAATACTATATACCAATACCCGCTGCTATATAATATTAATTATTCACCATATTTAAGTTTGTCGTGCAATTATTTAATTTAAGTGCTTTAATTGATTTCAACCAGTAACCACATATATAAGTATATACAATAATAATATTCGATTTCAGTTTGCCGAAACCGAATCCCCGTGAGTGCACTTCTGTAACTTCTTTAATAAAATGTGAATTTTTATAAGTCCTTACATTTGTAGTACGAGAATAAGACATAGGTTCCATGAAAAGTTACTCTGTATACGTTAAAAGTCAGTCAGGAGTCATTACATCTTATTTCATTTATACGAATATATAATAATATGATATAATGCAATATATACTTAGTATATTCAATTAGGACAGTCAGACAGACTTTAACTCTTACAGCGCCCAGTGCAAGAATTATTTTGTCGTCGTGTTGCCATCACTCGTCAATTGTACCTATATTATGCTGTCTATGCATTTGATGTACCTATTATATTTATAAAGAAAGTAATTTTTTGTATAAATGTTATCTGAATAAATAGCTGGTTACATTGTATTGTTGTACTACAATAATTTATGACTGACTTAATTATTAAATAACTGTTTTTATTTTTTTTACATAATATCCATCACTTTGTTTAAAAAAAAAAACTTACCCAAAACTGTGTACCTACATAATATATATTTTTACATTATATTTATTACCAACTATTAAGGTTAACTGTTAAAAAACATTAAATTTACGTTCCTAACATTACAGTAATCTTACACATTTATACAAAATGTATAAATGTATACTATTTTTCCGACTTTATTATTTTTGCGTTTCTAAAGTCTTTTGAATTTGTTTTATTTTACTTGTGAAATATCTGCGTTCCTAAATTATTAAATACATTACATAAATTATAATATTATTACATTTATAAAGCTTTACTGATATTTTAATATTTGTCTACATTAATATAAATACTATTTTTATACATTTATGTACTTCATATTATTATTTGTGTTAGAATTTTAAATCATAATCGACACATTGTATATAATGTGCAAGTTGTGTAATTTCTATATATTCTTAACTGACATTTATGTTATTTTGTTTTATTCACAGTGTGTGCTCAAGCACGTCTGGAAATGGCCGTTCAACGCTTTTGCATTAGACACAGCTACAGGGGGTAAGTAGAAAATACTGTTTTTATATTTTCTCGTTAAAACGATTTTTCACTTACATTGTTTTTAAATAATTATGGAATGTGCATTTTAATATTTCCATTGTATTTTTTTATGGCGTTTAAAAAAAAAAAAAAAATCAATAATGCTCATCTCCCAACGTCTTTATATATTTCCACTCTCGCAAACTTTACATAAATATAAGTAACAATATATAAAAGTGTCCAGCCGAACATCTGGAAGACCGTCTACAGTATATTATAATAAAATACCGGTGAATAAATTTGTTCCTAGGAATTTATGTTTATGTTTTGGAAAATAATATCATCAATAACGATTTTCCGCGTATCTCCTATAATTGAATTCTGGTCACATCGAACGGCGCATTTTACAGAATAATAAATCCGAGTATACTTGGAATTAAATTGTACCGCCATATTATTATACATTTTTAACGTGACAATATGCGTGCGCTTGTAATGTTTGTATATTAATATAGTTTTGTGTTCGGTAGAGTCGTGTAGAGTTTCAACGTCCAAAACATGACTCATTCCGAAACCATCCCACGACCCGCTATATATACCAATTTTTCTGTCGTAAAGTTAGACGGTAAACATTTGGAAATTGTTCTGAAACAATCCCTTCGCGGATAACAGCAATCCCGTAGGCTTTTCACACGTTTACATCGTAACGTCATCGTACTCACCCGAACATTCTACAATAATGAAACTATGTAGGTATACTTAACGTTTTCGATGTTTTCTACGCGACAAATGTTAACTGTAAGCTAAAAACGTCATTGGTTATGTGCAGGAATAATATTTTTTAGTTGTACAATTACGTTAAACGTATTGCCATCTTTCTTTTTTTTAATTGAATTGCATTTTTTTTTGTTTTGCGATAAATTTAAAATAACGACAAGTGTCTTAGGGATATAATGTATTGAGTACAATTTACTATTTAGTGAATTCATTAAAAAAAAACCTGTAGCAATCGTGTTCGGTTTTGAATAACCGATTTAACGTATCGCCAAATATTTCGGCTGGATGATCTTTGATTTGATTCAGATTTTTATCTACAAAAAGTGTTTATTATTGTGCGTTATTTTCAAACGAATTCAAATTTTCAACCATTTTTCCCGGCACATCCGCAGTAAAACCAACTTTTTTTGAGTTGAACCCCAAAGATGGGTGAGCATTTTAATTACTCAATTGTTTATATGAAAATTTGATTTAAGTATACATTTTTTTCAATCTTCGAAATTGAGTGTTTACAAGTACAAATCATACAAAATTACTCGGAACTTCCTATGCGATGAAAAATAAAAATAAATCATACAAATGATAATAAGAATAAGTTTATATTCGTATTCATTGTTTTTTTTTTTTTTATCGAATCTTTGTGATTCAGTATTTTTAAGAATTATACAAACTCATATTATGGTTTTTAACTCTCTCACAGTCACTCAATATTGGAGATAGAAAATAACTTTAAATATGCATTTAAACAATAAAATAATGTCCCTAATTTAAATTCAAAATCAAAAGGGGGATCAATTTCCCCAAGTACTACGTAAATACTCATTGTATTATTATTATTTACTTTATTTAGGCCCAATTTAGTATTTAAAATGTAATATATGGTTCGTTTGATGGGCATTAGTCTCCTTTATTTTTGGTTTTTAATAATTTAGTCTCAATAAGTCTCAATAACACAAAACGTGCAACTATAAATTCACTTTATTCACGCCATTATTTATATACGTGTTTCAAATTCAACAATATTTGTAAATTATACTATATACATAAATATATTTGGATACACGATATATAGGTAGTGATTTATTTATGTGTTTTCCCATTGAGTTTTCGAGTAATCAAGAGCACTATATGTATATATTGTATATATTGTGGTGTTATAAGATATCAATAAGTACTTTCTTAGTTAACGGTATATTTTATTTTATTTTATTGTAGGAAGATCGCTTCCAGTACTTTGTGTTCATCTTTTCCATTGGTATGGTCTAATGGAACACTTCAAGTTGGACGTGGTCCAAGTTTGGAAACTCTTTAGTAAGTATAAAAGTCATTATCTCGTTATAAATATTACTTTAAAGTCTTGCCTAAATACTGTCGCGAAAAAGCATTTTAGTTTTAGAGTTTGAGAGTATATACAATATAATACATATATGTATATTATGTTACTTCTAGTACTTACCTCTATTATATTATAATTTATGTGTAACAATATTTTAAATACTACGATCTAATTAAGCATAGTACGATTGTGATTTGTTGTTTATATTAATACCGCTTCACTAAATTAAATTGTTATTTTTAATAGATGTTATCTAACATTAATAAGGACCTCTTGGCCAAGTTTTGTAACAAGTACTGATTGAAGATTAACGAAACATCAATTATTTATGATTAAGTGAAGATCGTTTAATGAATCCAAAGAATGACGTGTTGAGATTATTTTGATAAGCCTCAGTGTTATAAGTATAATATAACTAATATGTCATCTCTCAACTAAAGGTGTATATTCGTTGCTTGTAGATTTAGGATTTCGATTCAAAGTGATTATAGATACCTAATGATAACTACCCTTAGTGTATACGAGTACAACAAGAATTATTTACGTTTTAGGACCAGTTGATGAATAATATATACATTTAGTAACTCTTATTAACGTTATATAATTATTGATAAATTAAATGGCCACACAATATATTATACCTAATTTAATTTTGTCTTAGACATTTTTTTTCTCAATGGCTTACCTACCATATAAAAAGTATAAATGTTTGTTATACGTTATAAAATAATATAATAGAATCATATATTGTGCATTGTGCAACTAAATTAAGTTAATTAAACTTATTAAAAGTTTTTAAAGCCGTCGTCGTTTTTAATTATATACGTAAATATGGGATATAAAAACTTTTAATAAACTTAATTAACTTTATTTAGTATATTGCACATATGATTTCATTATATTATTTTATTAGGTATATGTATATGACGTATAAATACATATAATATATTTATACACCTAATAAATTGTGTACAATGTACATATTTTAAAATAACCGAATTAATGTCTTGTAAAATGTATTAATTTTTAAATTTCTAGGGAGGGCGATGAATTTATTTATTTATTCAGCGATTGATTTTACAACGAATTGAGGTTGTAAGCGAAATTATAGTCAAGCGCATATTATATTTTGTTTTACCACTATGGTTATAAATTTGAAAAATATTCATATCCGTAATTTTCGTCTTCATAATATTATATAGGTTTTTTATAATCGAACATTGCAAACGATTTTCACCGCTCAATTCATCGAACTCAGTATCATATTATTATGTATTTTTACTTGTGGTCACATGATATATATGTTTGATATTCGTGACAATTCTGGCTGAGCATAATATTATATTAGGTATATTATATTCGTACGAAATCGCAATATCTTGCTTACAATCAATGTACAATTTATCACATTCGACAACATATTATATTGTGCATAATGGCAACCGACCTGAGACACGTTTATATTTTTGCTTACACCAAGAAATGTTGAAATATAAAATGAACATGCAACATAATTATTGGTGTTGTCAAATATTTTCAACAGCATTTTGGACTTGCTTCGACAGTATACAATATATACTACTGAATTAACCTTCTCACTCGCAGAAAGTGTTTTAGTGTCTATGAATTATGCAGCAATCCCTATAGTCTCTCACCTCCACCTGGTCATATTTTAGAAAAATGAAGTCTACATTAATAATGGTTACTGTTGTTAGTGAACACAAATTTAATATGCATTCTCTCACAATTTGTGTTTGAAAAATCGATTTGCTGCCACTTGCCACCTGCTTGTTCTAATTTTTATTATTTTTGCACCGTACTATTTAATTTTATATGGCAACGACAAAAAACAATTTTGTTTGTTTCCGGTCAGTAAAAAGTCACTTTAACCCAATTAACTACTAATTACCATTTGTGTTAAAATGGTGCGAACTATCTACGACCATTACATTATGGTATACTTTTTACGATTCGTACGCTAAAAGTACGATAACAATAAAATTACGTTTGTCAGCGTTTTGTATCACGGCGCATCCATCCAATGGGATTGATCACATTATTATTTATTTCTATTAAAATTATATATTGAATAATGATGTCCGTGGTCTTAAAAATTGACGAATAGAATAAAAAAAAAGTCTTGCGCGAGTTTATTTTATGATTTCGAAGAACTGCAATCAATATATAGGTACACAATATAATATCAACGATGGCGACAATAATATTCTCAATAAAAATAACATTGATTTAATATTAAAATAGTTTATCAGATTGGTCTATAATTCATATGAGTTTAATTAGGATGTATGATATAACCCTTTCCGAAGTCGTATATAATATTAGGCACAAACATAACTGTCGTTAAGTGACCTCGCGCGGCTCGCTGTATTTCAGGGTATAATATTTCTTAGGTATAATATTTAGGTAATCGTACGCCGGGTACGCTATATACAAGAATTATTACTATTATATATTTACTCACAACTTATACCGGCTGAAAGTCAACTCAAAGAAGTACGCTTACCTTTCTTTTGAAGTTATTGAAAAAATCCAAAAGTGGATGAAAAAAAATAATACCCCCGGGGAACGTCATATTTATTTATGTCGTTTTGTAATCATATTTTCAATTTCCATCTTCATTATTCATTAAGCAGGTATATGTCTGTTATTATTATTTATTTATCAAATGTATTGATAACAAATATTCTGTGAAATACGTAGCGAACCTACGTCAAATATACTGTGCATATCGTTTGTGCTTTTATAACTGATCTAGCTTTTGATAGAATTATTACGCATATTCCACTTTAAATTCAAATAAATTTCAGGAATAGAAGGTACCTTAACTAAATTTTAATCATAGTATACTTGTCCGATTCAGAAAATTTCAAAAACAATTCCATTTATAGTTTTAAGGTCCAATTTACATAATATGATTTTGCTGCGGCGGGAATATTATGATTTATACAATAATATTCTTGTAATATGGATTCTATTATGTATACTATAATGTAGGTATTAACCCATATGAACATTACAATAATTGATAATGATATTTTGACATTATGAGTAGGTAGTATTTTCAAATCGAAAATTATACACGTATTTTCGTTAAGCACAGCTTTTAGATTTCGATATATTAGAGAATCAGAATTATATTTTATCGTTGATAACTAATGCGAAATCATGGAAATCACTGAAATATCCCGAAAATACCCCGAAAATATTCTATTCAGCAGCAAAAGGGTTTTAATAATGCACCAAAACAAAGCGAAATGCACTTCCAGTCCAAATGCATGTCATAATATGTCTGCCGTCTGGTTTTGGCCGGGCACACCTGTGACCAAGTGACTTTTTAAAAACCGATGTGATACGTATTGATTTTAAAGCTCAACGCACGTGTTCCACTATTATAAAAATTTCTATAGTGTGTAGAATATTATACATTAAATATTTTTCCCAAATTAAAGAATTACGTATATATATATCAAATTATTTTAGTATAAATGTTTAAATTTATATAGTTATTTTGGAAATAAATCACATTTCGTCACCAGGTGATACCTAGTACCTATACAGTTTTAAATATTCTACTTTTATTTAATATAATATAGGTAATACATTTAAATACAATCTATTTTTAATATGTTTCTAATATGTTTCTTTGAAACTGCTACTTTACGATTTACCAAATCATGCCTTTGATCCGTAACGTTGTACTGCAGATTATTTATGTAGTGCTCACACAATGTTTCTGCAATTTTTATCCTGTATTTTTGTTTTCCATCGATATTTATGACTTATTTACGAAAATCGAAAAATTACCTCTCTAAACTACCATTTTGATCCAATTTGCTAAAAGATAATATACTATATGTTGAAATCGAAGCACTTCTTCTGGTAGAAATTTTGTATACAGGATAAAAAAAAAACACCCTTGTAAAACCACTGACTTCCTCGCTCCGCTCAGAATCTAAAATTAATCAGTCATTATTATATTATAATTTGTAAGTTTAACCAACATTATATATTTAAATTTTTGTCAACTAGCTACCTATACCTACACTGCAGTTCTTAATTTAAGTTATTTTGAAAAAAAAACAGCATTTATTTGTTTTTTAGGTACCTATATTATGAAAATTAATTGTCTTGCTGTGGAAACATTCTAACTAATAAGTTTTTTTTTTTAAATAACAATTACAATCCATTCATACAAAATGTATCATAATTTAGGCGTGTAATATTTATGAACGATATTGTCATGTAAATTATTGTTATTTTTAAATATTTAAATCAACCACAGTTTATTCTTGAAGCTTTTATTTTCAACTCTCAACAAAATGTCACTGCATATTATACACGCACCTTACACGATATATATTAGCTTAAAATTGCCGTTAAAGTCGCCTCGAAAGTTAAAACCGAACGTTATTTATTTATTTTCATTCGTAAGCGGTTCGTCTTAATTGATATAATTATCGTAAGCGTTCGGGTTTACAAAAGTTCTTACGCTGCGCATTATAACCGTGAAAAACTTCATCTCCTATTCGGCTCGCGTCCTCCCCTCGTAATGACACACACGCGTATAGTTTATTTATTTTTAACGTTTGTCGTTCTTCGTGTATATTATTATCTACTATGCTGTCGATTCTGCGATGCCTTATTATTATGCTAATGTAATCCGGTCCTAGTTATTTTGGGTTTGCTCGGAGTTTATCATATTTAATCCCGAGCCGGTTTCGGGCGCAAGTTTCGATGGTAACATCACTTATTTAAACACCGTAATAAAATGTTTGAAATTGAAAGTCAATAAAACTAGCTTGTTGAGGTTACGCCGGTATACCCAACGACTAGGTGGGTGATGATTACCGTTTGAATTTATAATTAAACCACACTGTGAATATAATATCGTATTGGTACCTGTATATATGGGAATATTAACATTATTGGATTGACCTTATTAAATTAGGGTTACCGTTATTTTTCAAGATATTATTCTAATGGATTTGGTATTTGCTATTTATGTTTTAACAGCTACAACAAAAAAAAAAAAAAAATCGTGTTGCTTAATTTGTTTTTTTTTTTGTATGTAACAAGTAATTTACACGAAATGAAACTTATGAACGATCCTATTATATTTAAACTTTTCTTGTTAAGTATACATAAAGAACACGTGAACGCGTTATCTGAGGAAACAATTAACAAAGTTTTATAATATTAAAACCCGTTGGATGGTCTCTAAAATGAGTAGGTGTAGACTTGGATACAGTAAACATATACACAACGTTTTTTTTTTTTATTGTCATACTTATTTACTGGGAGGTCTAAATAGTGTATCTTCAGTCGCAGAAAGAATATTTGGATGTACATAATATACATAATATAGTATAGTAGTTGTAACCATGGTCATTTCTTATCTAGCCGTCTCTATAAATTAATTGAGTGTCAATCGTTGATTATAGATCTCTAGTCTTTAAAATTATAAAAATATACTGATTGACTTAATCTCTTTTTATTTCTCAATTATGATTAAAAATATATATGAAGTGTTATTATAATGTATTTTGTATATTAATATACAGGCGTGGATCCAGACATCTATAATTTTGACAGAGGAGGAAAGGGGAAATACATCTTTTCAGAAAAAAATACAATTATAATTTTCGTTTATTGGCGATTGAAAGTGATAAGGTGTAACGGGGACGCTGTGTAACATTTGTATATTATTTTACTAGTTCCCCGCTACAGATCCCGCTGGCCTAATATTTGATAAGCTTTCAATCGCCAATACCTAATAGATTATAGATACCATTATATTACCCATATAATATTTGATTACAATATTAACGGTTTTGTTTATATTTTAAATTAATGGATTTCAAGATGTATGAACCAGTGTCGGCCTGGCATATAAAAGGCCTCGGCCGCAATTTTTCTCTGGGGCCTCGATTTTTTTTCTTCATTTACTATATATTATATGAACAATTTCGTTCCTAGAGTTATTGTATATCCCCCCCCCCCCCGCTCAATCAGCCAATGTGTAAATGAATTATTTTTTGTAAACTAACTTATGATATATTATGTCAGAATTCAGTTTTTTTCTTATGAATAAAAATAAAAAATGACTATAGTTGTGTGATTAAAGTGAAACCTGTATATTGAACAGCACCGTTTGATGCTGACCGTTAAACGCCAATTATTAACGCTGACTTTTACCTCCCTCCCCCCACTCACCAAATAGTCGCTCGATTAAAATTTTTCCACTTTTACAATTCTCTACTAAAGTCTAAAACCAAGTATTAACTTCTGACGTGCTTAATGATACACATGATTTTAATAAGGTACTAAACAAAATGTAATTCAAATTACGAAAAAGATATCATCCAAAATATAATAAAGAAGACGAACAATGAACAAAAGTTGACACAACATTATTTTTAAAGAAAGTAATAGCTAAATATAAAAAACTTAAATACTAAATGAGCAATTCATGTAACATTTTAGATGACTTAGGTAGTTATGTAGCTATAGTATCAATAATTTGAGTTTTCTGAATCTTGATATCTTTTTCAATTGCAATAAGCATTAAATGTTGTTGACTTATTGTTGATCTGATTTTAGACTTCACAAGTTTCAGTTTAGAAAATACCCTTTCACAAGTCACTTGAGTAGAGGGTAAAATAAATACATATTTATAAACTGTAAATAAATTATAAAATGAGTTTGAATGAAATGAAAGTTCTTTAATTACTTAACTTAATTGTTCTTACTTCTTTATTTCGATATAGCGCTAATGATAATAATTGATTAGACAATTTATCAAACCTATTGTACGGCCATACAGGGCCCCACACATAGACGTTATTGACTTATTGTATTTGTACTCGTTACGATTTTCCCGACAATTTTGTTGTACAAAAAATCTTATGTGCGTTCAAATCATCTCGTTTATCATTACATTTGTACTACACCTTATACGAGTAAACAGCACACCACACACGTATACACCATGACAAAATATAGATTCTATTATATCGTACTAGATAGTAGATACGTGTTTGTAGTGATTGTACACTACACTCAAATTCTATAACTTATACACAGGGCCGGATTTAGGATTGTGGGGGCCCTAGGGCCCATCATCTGGCCATATAAGGTTGACATATAACTTACTGCATAAGCTAAAAGGTAATTATCTCGTGGGGGCCTCTTATTAATTGAATCTTGTGGGGCCCCGGGCCCCGTGGGCTCTCTCTAAACCGGCCCCGTTTATACACTTCGTCAGTAGCGCAACTAGGCCAATTGTCACTTTCAATGAAGGGCTCTATTAAAGTTTTTTACGATTATTTTTGTGAATAAAAATTGGGGTGGTCATATTGATTGTAAAAATTGTTATCCAAATCTAATATAGAAAACAATATTTTTAGTTAAGACTTCGGCTGGGGCCCCTGCAGCCTGTGGGCCCCAGTGATCTACACTCCCTCGTTCATCGTCGTACATTTAATTGTACCGTATATTTGACGCTTTGTTGACTACTCTACGTTGGGGTGGTGGTCCTGGCCACTAATTATAAACTAAAAAAAAAAAAAGCTCAGGGCCTCGGCCGCGTTCGCGGCCCCGCGGCCCTGGCCAGGCCGACACTGGTATGAACTATTTATTATATATAAATGAATAAATAATGTATACATTTTCTAAAAGGGATGCTAAAACCCTTTTATCCCCCCCCCTCTGGAGCTGCGCCTACTAATATACCCTACAGGTGTACTACATAATACATATCTACTTAAATAAGTGATACATTTTATAGATAACGCGTACAAAATAAATCTCATTTCTTGTCTAAGATATCTAAATGCGAATATCTACAATATTTGTTCACAGGTCTCATAGAAGAAGGGTACCACAGCACAAACCCGTACCACAATGCCATTCACGCTACCGATGTCACCCAGGCAATGCATTGTTTCCTGCAAGAAGACAAGGTTAGAAACACTCCATCACGTATTTGGCTTATACAAATAATTATAGTGTAAAATATTTTATTAGAATATTCTTTGGCATTCTGTAAACTGTAGCTGAGTTTATCGTAGGTATGTATATATCCTATTACAGGTCGTAGGCTAAGGAAACCGATTATTCGGAGCTGCCTTTTTAGTTTTAGCCGCAATGCAAGAGTTTCGAATGAATTCCCCCAAATGCGTTTGAGCGTATATTCATTAGTTTACAGTCGTCATAAGCAGTGTTTAAATTTTGGAAGAAAATATAAAAGCACCGATAACTACAACCCTCGGTTTAAATATATCGTAAGAAGTATGTTATATAAGAACACCGGACGAAGAACCGTTTTCCTTTAAAAAAAAATCCCCCTCGATAATGTATCAATAACTAAAAAAAAAAACATAAGCCGCTTAGTAAGTTTGAAAGTTTTTCCTTTGGGCATGAACTCCGTTTAATGTTCATTCTGTATATCATATAGGTAGTGTTCCGCAATCATAAATATAAGGATATACCAGGATGATTTTCAAATACAGCGTTATTCAATCATCGTTGTAGAAACGTCGTGCGTGTGTACCTATAGTTCGTTTTATCTATCGTCGAAACTTTTCGGTGCCATTCGTCCGTAATATAGCTTTTTTCGCGTGTTGACTTTGAAGCGTTTGAGTGTATAGACTACGTAATGACCGGGTGTGCACGTGACACTTGATAACTCCCGAACCGTTTGACATTACCGTCTGATGTGAAGCACAGCAGTAGTGGTCCAAAAAATGCACACAGCGGTATACATTAATATTTTGATAAAATGTGAAGGTACTATATTATATTTTAATAAAAACGTTGAATTTTATAATTGATTTTAAATTGATTATAGTGACCTTATAATAATATGTTATTAAAGTGACCTATAAATTCTGGTTAGGCCATTACGTTAACTTGAATTAATTATTCAATGAAACTTTAAATCAATAATAAGTTTATAATAATAATATAATATATTAGTTTATATCCACTCTTTTATCATTGAAACATTTTGACGTGTGGAAACAATATTTAATCGCATTATATTATGTACATTATTATTATTATTAGTATAATCGTTTGGCGAGAAACCAAGTTTTCCGGTTTTTACCGCATTGGCCTCACGGGATTTCTAAAAAAACACCGCTTCGTCCTATCCCATATCCATAATTAAATAATCACAATATTATGTTTTTTTGAAATCACAACAACATTGCAACCCGTTGGGTTCATTCCGTTTGCATACACTCCAAGTCGTCTGGGAATTCGATTATCTATAGAGAATTTATTTTTATTTCTGGTCTTTGCCTCAGATAATACGACATAGTATATGATATTCGTATTTTATTTGACCTCGTTACGCACTCATAATATAGTATACGTAGTATGTCATTATGTACGAGTATAGTTGTTACCTATTACCTGCATACATATCTAACCGTCGAAAATTGATATTATAATATTAATAATCTGTCTCCTCTGAAAATATAGCGACAACGATCGGTTCTCGAGTCTAATGAAAAAAAAGATCGTGTCGCGGGTGTCTTGTCGTGTATAATATTTTATCATCTTATTTGAATAAGTACTATCATTGTTATTTCGTATCGTCGGCATAATAATAATATAATACAAGTAAAAGCTCTTACCTATTTTGGGAACGCGTAGAACCGAAATCTCCCGTTATTATTGTTCGTGTTGTTTTTTTTTTTTTTTTTTAACTATTGTTATTATTGCTATTTTCTATACCGCATTGACAGGTTTTAGTGCTGCTCGCAAAAGCCACACAATACGTGCTCGGCCGAATTCGGAGCAGACGGTTTAAAAGTCCTGCCGCGTGCCAATGTCGAAAAATTATTTCCGACGGACCGCTGCGGCGCGACGTGTAATCGTCCGTTATTATTATTTTAATATTTTAATTTCACTTGCAACCTTTACGCGTTTAATTTTAGACTATTTTACGATTCGTTTGTGGACACCTAAATACGAGCGCATGACATATAGCACTGTTTACCACAAAAATATATTTAATATTTCCGCCATTTAACGATTTGTCGACGCGTGACTGAATTGTTTTTATTACTTTTATTTTGTTTCTTTATTTTTTTTTTTTAGTATAAAAACTTGTTTGCAAACACTTTTTTAAAACTTTATTCAAATATACATACAACGATTCGAGAGCTAAACAATCGTGTACAGTCTGTTATTAATTAATCGCATTGAATTTTGGTGTGACGAAAACAGACATTACAAAAATAAGTGAATAAGTTATAAATAAATGTGTATATTTGTATTGTACATATTTTCATATCACTAAATTCTTTAATTATTAACCTATTTGTGAAGGAAAAAAAAATACTACCAATTAAAATGATTGTTCATAACAACAAATTAATAACTGAAACAATAATTACTGGGTATCATAGTATTTTAAGTGAAAAAAGATGTAGACTGTATCATCTTTATTCCTATTATTATTCGAGAAATATTTAAATGATTTATTATAACAATAATCAGTACATATTAAAACGAAATTTAGTATAGAATTTAATTTAATATCTGTGTTGATTGTTTTATTAGTATAGAAATACAAACATAATGGTGTGGCATTCATGAATAATATAATAATATCTAACAATAACAATCGTAACACAATAACTTAACGGAAAAGTATTAAAGTCAATCAAAACGTTTCTTACGATGTATTGTTCTCCGTTTATTTAGTGCTTTTATAACTAAAAAGTTTGTTAATCTTTTGTATACTTTTTAGCTCAACAAGTTTAACGTTCTGTTTCGTCGGCAGTCGTAGTATACTATAATACCTTATATATTATAATAGGGTATTATAGTTTATGAAAATAAAATAAAAACAATTTTCTTAAACACTTTCACATAATTCAACATCATAATTTACAATACATATTTAAATAAATACTTGTTTCAGACGAGTATTTAACTCGGTTACCTATCTTCGATAAATCACTCCAAATCATAATAGTTTATATTATTTCGGATAAATGAAAAACTGATGCGCACGTATAAGGTACAATATAAAACGACATGTCGTAATGTGTGATATTATTGAAATATTGAATTTTTATTCGAAAGTGTAAGTTAATAATTATTTTGTGTGATGAGGTTTTTAAAACCACAGTTCTTCATTTGATGAGGCGTAATGTAACAAGTCAAATTTGCCATTTTTCAATTATTGAGTTGTCTGGCAAACAAAAAAATAAAAAAATATTTCTGAGCAGCGTCTATTACCATAATAATAATAATAATAATGAGTGTTATGAAATATTGAAATTTGAAAAAGGAATTACACATATTATCGCGTAATGTAGCCAATAATAATAACAATAATAAAATAGAAACTACCGTTTTATAACACCGTTAGTATAATGCTTAGTACAATAATTATTATTATACTCAAAAGTATAATACAATATTATTAGAACACTAAAATATTATAAGCACTTCAATATATTGTACCAGATATGTTTATTAATTTCTATTACTTTTTTCTACAGATCAAGAACTTCTTGACACCACTCGAAATCATGGCGTCTCTCATAGCGGCCGTTGCTCACGATCTCGACCATCCCGGTGTCAATCAACCGTTTCTTATCGCGACCAGTAATCATTTGGCTACTCTTTATGAGGTGACCCATTATGTTAATATAAAATACCATTTTACGTTATGCCTATTGTTGATGTGTTCGTACAACCGAAAAACGATATGTGTGTTGCTATAATATTATAATATCATCAACATGTATGGTTTTCTGTTGTATTTATGTGCGTCAATTCAGAACACCTCTGTGCTGGAGAACCACCACTGGAGGTCGGCGATTGGTTGTCTGCTCGAAAGCCACGTAGCTGAGAAACTAAGTCCCATAAGACAAGACCTCGAGTCGCAGATAAGTTCACTGATCTTGGCCACGGATATTACAAGACAACCGGAATTCTTGAAGAAATTCAACGTGAGTTTCCCTGTAAAAGGGGTGTGAGCTACAATATAAATAACAATATCTATTCCGGGTTAAAAATCCATTGGGCCTAGAACACGAGACACTTAGTGGGCCACTTTAAACTATCATACTCAATCAACCCTTCCCACTTAAAACATTTTTAATTACTACTTACAATCGTATTTCGTTTTATAATTATAATTTTGTACCGTTTAAAATAAATTAATAATAAAAATAAAATTACCAAAATAGGTACCGTAGATGAATAATTATGTAACAGTACAGTATACACATAGTTATATATCATACAATTTTAAATAACAAAGATAGTATAACGTGACCACAGCCAACGCAGTAACTTTAAATGTTAACGTAAGACACTAATATAAAATATTGTTTCTTTACTCAAATAGGTCAAAAACACCTAATATCAATTAATTGTTAAATATTATGATAATGAATAATGATATTATAACCTTTTACATTGTACCTAGAGTGATTTGTTCGCTACTCTCATTTTCACTAATTTACAAACTTCATCATATTGTTATCAAATACCATTTATATCTATAATACATTTATCATTTAGTAATTTTTTGTAACCTAAACATAGTTCATGTTTTTTTTTTTTGAAATTTCTTTTGATTGTGTGCATTATGAAAATATTTTGTAGAAAGAGTTGGACCCTTAAAATACCGTCCCCACCCCCTTAACCCGGACTTGTATGTGTGGCTATATTATAATATAGTGTCTATTTTTTTGTATATAAAACACATTTGAAATGCACCGAAAACTTTTTTCATTTATGCGCTCTCGACTTTCCATGTTTAATTCATGAATTCCATTTCGAAAACGGGACGAAAAAAAACTTTTATTATTTTTTCCTACGATCTTTTTCGCCATAAAAATATTTAACATTCTCCGAGTATGAATATTTAATGTGCTTTTCTAGATGCATACATATAAGTACGAGATATATAATAAACAATAAATATATGTTCTTGTTTTAAAATGTCTAACCGCAGCGTTGGCGTGATGCAAATATACGCTTTGGTTGTGCCTATTATTATTATACACTTCAAAATTTTAATTTAAATGCAATTGGGTAGTTGTATAATCAATTGTATCTTTTATTAATCTATTTATTTTTTATTGATTTATACATCGAATACATGTTTCAAACACCTTGACAAACAATTTCTTTTAGTTAATGAACCTATTAGTTATATGTATTATTAATGTTACTAAATTAATGCCAATATCAATATATATCATACCATCATATTATTTACTCAAAAGTACTTTTCTAATGTAATACGATAAAAAACCATGATTTAAGTATGTTAATTGATCTAATTTTAGATCAATTATTGTGTCAGCTGTCATTGGTATACAAAAGGCAGTAGGATTTTATATTTATTTTATTTTTAATTATTTATTTATTGAGCCAAAACAATTACAATTAAATAAATTAATAATAGCTGATACGAATACCAACTGAGCTATAAGCTCGTATCTGGTATACTGAGTTCAACGATAATACAATTCGTTTAAAGTAAATAGGTACTTATACAATAGAAATATGATAAAATTAAATAAACATAACATGATAACAAAACTTTAGAAACAAAAATTTACATCAGCATTACATATCATAGGTACATGTTAATATTTAATATATTATAAGATGTTATGTTTAGACACATTGACTTTTTATGATTTTATTGATACACACATTATCATCAAGATCACTAACTAATGTATATTAATATTATGGTTAATTTACAAATAAATAATTCACCACTACGAAAATACGACCCAACCATTAACGTGTACCTTGGTATCATATTTTGTTTTAACCATTTTTTTTTTTTAATAACAAATTAAACAGAACTATCTGGAAAACGACGAGTTGGACATGAAGGACCCGGAGTTGCGGCACTTCATACTGCAGATAGCACTAAAGTGCGCTGACATATCGAACCCGTGCAGGCCGTGGGACGTGAGTCGCAAATGGAGCCTGAAGGTGTGTGACGAATTTTTCAGACAAGGCGATTATGAAAGGCAGTTGGGATTGCCGGTCACCGATATCTGCGACCGATACAACAATACAGTGCCGAAAATCCAAACAGGTACGTGCCTTTTTTAATAATCCGCTATCGTGTTCAAATCATTATATAATATACGTACCTGTTAGACCGCGTCTATAATACACAATAAACAAAATACTATAAAATAATATGTAGTTTGTATTATATATTATAATAATTAGTCTATAAGCCTAAGATAAATTAACTATATTCTTATTTTTATTCAAATTCAAGATAAACCGACACACCGAGGACTTAATTGAAGAGAGCTAAATATAATGGCCACCGACCGAAAAATAATTGCGTTTAGTCTAAAAACAGCCATATGTCCATAGTGTCAACAGTATGTTTGTTTGTATAAATGCGCATGGAACGTATTTATTTATTTTTTTTTTAACACGATATATATTTTTGGTTTCATCTAAATAACCTATAACCTATAGGATACGCATTTAGTGTCTCTACTGCATTTGAGTATATTCGTGTATTATATATCGTCCAATTATTCACCCTTAATACGCACGTGTATAACGTTATACAGATAAAAAAAAAACAGTATATTAACGAGTAATAAATGATTGTACACGCTATGTTATTATGATGCCATTAAATTTAAATATATTGGTAAATCAATACGTGGATTAATACATTTAGATTAGGTACTTATTATAGTTTTATTATAATATAGGTCTTAATATTAATTGACATAGGTAATGAATATAATGATAACAGTCTTTATCGAGTAAAATATAATTTTATGTTACAATGCATAATTTGACATTTTATACTAAAGTAAAGCACACTGTACTGTAATTGTTTTAGTTTTGAAATTATTATTTGACTTTATATTTGTATATTATAATATTGGTTTAGCCCGTAAATCAATTTGAGTATAGATTTTCGGAAAATATTGCCTATATATCATCCATATAGTTTCTATATTGTAATAGATAATAGAAATATTTTTGAGTAATACTCATTTGCCAAAATCATTACAATTATTATAGTTAATTGTGTTGTTTTCATTAGTGTTCTTCAAGTTCATGGTGTTGCCGCTTTTCAATTTGTGGCACAAGTTTTTGGACACCAAACTGTCGCACTCGATGATGGAAAACCTGAGGAAGAACCAACAGCAGTGGGAAGAGCTCCGGGAGCGCGAGAGCTGCGACGAGCAGCAGCTGATCGCGGACGCCGACGACATGATGCTGGAACAGGAAAACGAACCGGACACGCCACAGCAGCAGAACCGCCGGGGCTCACTTCCGGCCGTCGTGCTGGAGACCGTGGACAAGATGGGCCGTCGGCACTCGGTGCCACTGAACCTGGCCCGGGTCACCGGCCACGCGCTGCCGTGCACGATACTGCGCCGGGAAAGCTTGCAGGGCGCGCTGCCCTCGACGTTGCTGGTGCAAGTGGAAAACCGGCGACGGTTCACGCTGGGCCAGATCCCGTACCTGGAAGAGGAGGAGGAGGGCCTGAGCATATCGGTGGGCTCGTCGAGGAGCAGCGGGCTGCAACGTTCGTCGGACGGTTGCGGCGGCAGTCACATGGACGACCGGCCGGTGAGCGCCGAGAACCTGATACCCGAGCCCAGCATAGCGACCATTACCAATACGGCAGACGCCAGCCGGCTGTGCAACGTCATACACGGCGTCACGTCACCGGTCCTCGGGCACCAGGCCTCGTCCAGGGGGGGCCTGACCAGGCAGCAGACGTTCCCACCAATCCAGCCGTACGTCCGGGCCCGGTACCTGTCCACCGGCGGAGACACCGCTGCACCGTGTTCGTCGTCCAGCGGCGGCACGTCGGCCGTGTCCACGGCGTCCAGCCGGACCGGTTCGACCAGCAGCGAGGGTTGTCCGTCGGCGGGCGGTGGTGGTGGTGGAGGAGCAGGCCACGGCGCTGGAGGAAACGGCACGAAGCGAGACTCGATCCTGGACACTGACCGGGCGTTTAAGTTGGCCAGGTTTTCGTCCAACAAGGAGAAGGAAAACGTCGACCCGGCAGCAAGGACCAACGCGGAAATCAGGCGTAACAGCAATCACATGAACCAGGTTAGTTAGTTTTTTTTATCATAATCATATTTTAAGTTTCTCACTTTTTTGCATAATTACATAATTCATATAACAGCTTACATTTTTGATTTCATATTCCATAGCAGAATATTTTTCTGAGAATTTCAATTACATCAACATAGGACTTCGAACGATTAGCTAATTCGTAATAGGTACTAAGTAGATATTTTATGTATAGATGAGTGGTCCAACACGTTGAGTGGTACCCCTGAACCGCTTGTACAAACTTCAAATAGGTGCCCCGAAAATGGTGTCCCACTATTTCACTCTCCCATACTTTAAATACCTATTTATAACTAATTAACTAGGTACTCAAATGGATCGATTTTTTACATTGATATCTTCAAAAAAATATTTTGCTTTAAAGTTACACTATTACGACATAAATTAGTAAAACTTATTATTTTATAATGACTTCTAATTACGTTAACACTTTTCAAAAATATGATTATTCACATTCATGAGAATCACCTTGTAATATATTTTCTGGCTATTTATATAATGAACTTTAGTGTATTGTCATCGACCTCTAATTATATTATTTTCAATTTCCGTGTTTGGAATGGAGGCTTATAATCGTTATTTTGATGTTTAATGTTTAATTTCTTATTTTAGTCGATTTGTACAAATCTAAGGTCTTAACTAAAAACCTGATTGCATACAATCACTCATAAAGTTATTTATGAATTTGATTTAGATGTACATTCTACACACAATGATAAATATTGAAATAGTAAAATGCTAAAATCAACTACTTATTTCAACAAACAAATAATATTATATTTGTTAGTAAGTTTTTTACTTCACTGTTTTTCGTAAGAATATATTAGAATAAATCTGTTTTGGCCTTGAAAATATTATCAAATAAAGATTTTCCGCAGATTATAGACTATATAGCATTGGACTTAATTTTCAGGTGATGGTCACTACTTTTTGACAATGTAATTTCTTAGGTCCTATGACCTATAATAGGTTCTTCCGGTGCGACGATTTTCCCTTTTACAATAATAATTGATGACTTATTTTTTATACGCCGTATAATTTTCTACGAATATTTATTTATTGTCCCAACATACTTCATATTATCATATTGTATGTACCATGTAGGTATATAAATAATTAATTTTTTTTGTAAATCCCTAAAGTACCCACGCACATTAATATAGGTAGTTATTTATCGTCGTACACCCCAAATTTATCGCGAATCCTGCAGTTGTGTGAATACCAGTTCGAAATAATACCACCGTGGTTTATGTTCATCCAATAATATATGGTCCACCCATTTTATCTGTGCTCTCGATCCCCGCTATCTGTCCGTAGATACACGACCAGTGATGCTCTACAGTGAAGACTCTACACCTGCCTAATATCAATCAGAACACTTACATAAATTATAAACTGTCTTTCGTTTTTTTCCAAACAGATTTTGACAAGACGTCGAGGTTCAGCACCGGTAGGCGCTGGAAACGGTGACGGTACTGGACACCCGACACCCGGCAAGGGCCAAGAAGCGACCATTCCAAGGCGCGGGTCGGTGCCATCAGATTTTTCCAAACAGAGTAAACAAATTTTATTCGTATTTTAAGAAATTGTATTTTTTTTTTCAATTACTTTTATTAATTTTTTTATAACATTTTACATTAATTTTTTTTTTTTAATTTTCTTTTTTAACATTTTTACCATATAATTGTTTTATTCGTGAATGACCGCAGTCACAGCGCTTTTATGTCAACGTACTTGTGCACTTGTGGTTAATGCATGGCTTTCTATCGCAGGTGCCCTTTTTAAGGTGGTGGCCACAGGGCCACTGAGCACAAATAGCCCGAAGCAAGGCGCGAGACGTTCATCGCTACCGTATGATTCCAATATTGGATTATCGAGCTCGCCTCTTGTTTCTCCTTCCCGGCCAGGTGAGACGATCATCGATTATTAGAAAGAAAAGAAAAAAGCATCCACACACTATCATACTATTAGCATATAACAATACACTCGAAATTACCTATAACAACATAATATGAATTAAATATGGGTTTTTGTCAGTCAATACGCTTTGCTTTTTAATGACATATTAACAATTTATATAAGTTAATCTTAGACTGTTCTTTATTACTGTATTTATTTTTGCTTACTTAGCAATTTTCGTATTTTTTTTATTAGATCGATGAATTTAATTATATCGTTGAACCAAATGAACTGCTGTCGTTCGAAGTGATCACTAAATATTATAACAATATTATTAAAACTCAATTAAATTCGTATTAACTATAGAAAAATTTAATTTTAATTTCTATTGTTCTCTTAAAAATTAAGTACACATAAACATAAATAACTAATATTTTCAAATTTAAGGTGGAAAAATATTCATTACTAGTGGTTAATAATTTAAATTTGTTATGAATGATTCTGCCTCTTTTTTCATTTGTTCGCTTTTATAATAACCATCAATTTGATCGATCAGACGAAATAGAAATAATAACAATACTATTTAAGTGAATAGCATGGGTGGTAATATTTGATTGTTACACGTTCTTAGATAATTATTATATAGAATTATTATAGATCGTCAATATGACGCGTAATTCGTATTATGGACAGTTTCGAAACGATATTTTAGGATAGTCCAGTAACGATTTCGTTGTAAAATTTACAATTCTTTTTTTTTTGTTTTGTTTTTGTTTTTTTAAGGCTGAAAGTTTTAACATCAGTTTTGGAGGTAATAAAAAAAAGGGTTTTTTAAAAGTGAAATGCAGTGGTTGTACAATAATATACAATGACTGCGTTTATAATTTGTAATCTACCTAGTTGTATTATATATGTGTACATAAATGTGGCGTATTTGAGAATGGAGTAGTCCCCCTGCAACCGAAAATGTATATATTATAATCATACCAATTGCCTTAATTTCGGTGAATTTCATATTTTGATCATAAAAGTTTAGAGCTTTTAAATATTTATCAATCAATATACCTGGCTGTGAATGATATTATAAATTAGTACCTAATACATTATTCAAAATCAAAAACATAAAATAAATATTTATTTCATTTTGTAAAATATTTAAATAGTAATTTACCTACCTATAGGAAAATTTTAAAAAGTCTGGTTTGTCGAATTTCTCTCGAGATCATATTTTAGGGGTTGTAAAATATAATTTCCACCCCCCCCCTGCCAATAAAAAATCCAAATCTCAAATACGGAACGATACAATTATTACGATATTGTTATGTTGTTCTGCCGTGATTGGTCTGCGACAATCTGTATAAAACTTGCGATTGGGCGGTGTGATTGCAGAGCGAAGGGGTTCGGACGGAAGCCGCCCTGGTAGCCGAAGACGGCGCAGAAAGTCAATGAAGCGACGGAGTTCCGGCGGACCGGACGTGTTGCTGTCCACCGGCCAGTCGATGGACTCGTTCCTGGCCCACCGCCGCGGTTCCTTGCCCGTCGAAATACTTGCCACGTCCTTCTCGGGTAAATAATGTGTACCTATAGGATAATATGACTACCGAAATGAAAACTGTCAACTAACATTCGAAACTATTTCGGACGATTAAAAAACATTTTATATTATATTCTAATATCATAATCGTATAATCACCGCCTTCGATATGATCATTTTTCTTTGGTTTACGACCCCGCGTAATATACCTAATAACTAATGCGCACTTGTTGTACTTTTTGAGAAATCTACAATAAGTATCATGGAAAATACCTTCGTCCTCTTAGATAACTTTTTCTCTGTTCTGTTCTCGATACCCCGCGATCGTTAATCGTTTTTTACCCTCCATGATCGGTACAATGGTAACATACACGTTTTGCGAAAAGCGTAAGTCTTTACCGTGTGATAACACTTTCATTTTTTATCTGATGCTTATTTATGCACTGCTTACAGTGTGCCCGATTCGTTTTATTTAAATTGTTTACACTGTACGGATGGGGAGCCTATTATGAGTGAGATAATTCCACCCCATGACCTATTTTTCAATATTTATAATAACTTAGATATAGGTTTTAAAAGGTAATCATAAATTGTATTTTTAATCATCAAATGGTGTGTGAAAAAAAATCAGCCACCCCCCTCCCTTTTTTGTTATTTATTTTTATTACTTTTGACAAAATCATTTGACCGCCACAGCCCCGATAAAATATACAGTATGTCTTCCCAATTGAAACCCATCACATTGTCATATCCATGTCATTATTGTAACGTAGAACTTATTTTCTTTCAGGGCCACATTGAGAAAAATGATCATCTAATTTTCGCATCGTAGACTGACAAAATGAATACAAGATATTTGGACTACCTATATAAATATGCAAGTCGGCGGTTGCGATAACATTCGCACGAAATTCTCGAAACTTTGTATTATTATTACCTATATATAATACGCTAATTATTGACAAACGGAACATAAATAATTTATGGTCTTCCCAGCGCAGTACTGTTGAACAAACAAACAAAAAAAAAAAAAAAAAATAACCAATAATGGAATCTATATTGATTTATTTATTTTCATTGACCAAATCTCGACGCTTATGGTTAATTTTTGATTTTCGGTATCTATAAGCTTAACACTTCTAAAAATTAATATTAAATGTAAATATAAAACATACTATTATCCACCTGTTGAGACGAATCGTAAAGGGATATATTATATTATACTATGTGTATGGTCACTTTACAGTTTATTTTAAACCGTTTTCCACTTATTTCTAACTGTGTATAATATGTGGTACATATCATGCATTTGTGTTGACCATCTTTGCCTTTTTTACAACTATTATTATTAGTCTAAGCTTAATTGGGCGTGCCGCCCACCCGTGCGAACCTGTTGTGTCGCTCAGGTCACCCTATACGATAACATTCTGCAGGGTCTGTTACATATTTTAAGTGTTCGAGATCCATCTGCATAAAATTATATGTCGTGTTCGGTGCTCCTGTTCTATAATACATGTTAAGTCCGATTTAATAGGGGGAAAAAAAATGTTTCTGATACATAAAATATTATGCTTCCACGATGATAATATGATAAACGAAAACAAAATATGATGATTTCGAGTCACATTAATACGATGGACTGCGTTAAACAATGTGTGGTCCACAGTTAGTAGGCATACGATAATCTGTGCAGATAACTATTGTTGTATGACATCAAGTACTTTATGCTGTTCAAATGTAGTTTGTATATTTTTTTTCTTCATTCTTCATCTTATTCTTCTTCTTATTTTTATTATTATTATTATTACATATTTTTTTTTTTTATAAGTATAACGAAAAATCACTGCCATTGTACTGATATTCTTCATTATAATATTACAATTTTTGCGAATTGCGTTATGCTTTAGTTTGGTAATGTTATTTTTGAGTTACTAATATTTAGATAATCATTTTTTAAGTATTTCTTTGGTTAAAATAATCCTCTTTGATTGATGTTTATTTCTCTGTTATAATAAGTGCCAAATATGAGATAGTATTGAAATAATAACTTCCGTATTTTTAAAATTTCTTTGAAGGTACAATAACTTTAAAAATTGAACAAAACTATGCTACAACTTGTATCTTAATCAAAAAAATATGATTTCTCTCTAGTCAAACGCAATAAGTTTCTTATTAGTATTTTTATAACTAAAATCGACGAATCTCTTTGGTCGTACCTACTTAACAACAAAAACTAACCGTTGCTTAAAATTCTTCCATTCGTAAAATATATAATCATATAATAATCAAGTCTTAATATATATATAATAATGATCTGCTCCATTTAACGGGAAAATTATGTAAATTATTATTCATTCGGACGTGTTTATTTATTTATAATATTAATTGAAAAATAATTTAAACAACTGAACTATTATTAATTTTATTTCTAAGTTTATTATTATATGGAAAAGTGTGTACCTATTATAATCTTGATGTACATTGTATATTCTAAACAGAAATAAGTATACAGATACACGTTATAATAATATGTTCTTCATTTATTTAAACCTTATTTTAACAGATAACGTGAATAGTTTTATTTGTAGAATGATTTTATTTTATTTTGATAATTACTTTTTTTTTCATAAGTATTTTCAATACAATAAAAAATATCATTATCATTATCATTATTATTATTGTTATTATTTTGCTAATTAAAAGCTTAATTTAGATGCTAAACAATTAGCTAAATTTAACATGCGCTTTTTTTTTTTTGCTAACTTCTGGGGATTTAAAACACGAAAAATGTATGTAATACTTTTGTAAACGTGTAACTAATTAATCTCAATATTTTCTATGATAATAATAATGATAATAATTATGTCTTAAAAACGCACATCACACATTTTGTTTTTAAAACTAACATTTATTATTATTGTTAAAAAATGAATTTTTATTTTTGTCATCATTTATGTTATAGGTTAATAGGTGAATGTATTCTGTGTTGACTTGTTTTTCGTTTGTAATTTCTGGTTAATTTTATTTTTATTTTTCCTTTTGTTTTTATTTTTAATTCTTCTAATTTAATATTAAATAGGTAATCCTAATAAAATGATATGAATACGTTATGACTATCATAATATTATTATACTTAATCATAATATTATATACTGTAAAATAATATTGTGACTGTCAAACAAATACATTTTTTTTTCTATCGGACATCAGTACCTATACATTATTATTGTTATTATCATTGTACCAAGGTGATAACGCTAAGGTTATTACGAAATATAATATTATAATCTTCCCAATACTGTTTCCAAAAAAAAATGTGTGACAATTCAAAAAATAGCGTACCTATTATAATGAAATAGCATTTTCATTACCGAATAATATTGTATTGTATGTTCTAAAACGTAATGATTTCTATAATAAAAGTATATCGTTAATGACTATTGGAATGATTTTAAGTTTATTTCGAAAGAATGTGCTATTATTTTAAGACTATTATAATCCATTCCACTACACGCGGTATTATTGATGACAGCAGTCATGTTTCTTAGCATCGCATGAATGGACTACCATCAGTGGTATATTTACGGGGGTTGATCTCCGGTATTTAATAATTTTAATAATAACGGAATTAAAATTGTTAACTTAAAATAGGTAACTTAATACTTGCGCCGCTGGAAATCTTCAGACTACTGAACGTATAGTATAGTATTAAACTATTATACGTTCCATACAAATACATTAATATATTGTTCAAAGGTTGTATTGAACCAACAACGTCATAGGAACTGATCTTTTCCAGTGAATCCACCGCTATCGAGTTTTCAAATATTTGCATTTCGTTCTCATACACCGTAAGACTCGACAAACATGGTAGGTACTATGTTGTATAATATTCTATTCGGCAGTCATTATTTGGGTATGGGTTCTGCAGCGCATACATCGGTCACTTGATCAAATATTTACAACAAACATTTCTGAAATAAAAGGTACTCAATTGATCTTTCATTATGTATAATTGCTGGTCAGAGTTAAGACGAAAAGAAAAAAGTGAGTATATAACGGAAAAAAATGATACAGAGTTGACACAATTTTCACGAAATAAATTTTCGTCTCACCATGCAAGCAAAACCACCCGACAACAAAATATTTAAAAGTGTTGTTTTTCTTAAAGCGTTGCGAATATCGTACTATAGAACGGGACTTTCAAAATATGAATTCGTATATTGTTGGTGGCCGCTGTGAATTGTAATAAATATAAATAAAGGCGGCCATAACATAATAATATAACGACGAGAGCGGTGCGCCTTTGAAGTCCGTAGCCACAACGCTGCATTATCATAGTTGTATTATGACAATTTGTAACATAAAACCTCATAATATATTATGATTCCGGGAAAAAAGGCCAGACGTATTTAACAGAATGTATTTTTAAGAACGGTCACGTAGAAGTTCAAAGAGATGAAATAAGTGGCTGTGAGTACCTCGTTTTTAGTACACAAATGTGCTCTTATAATATTCATCATCATTACGCGATGTTCAGAGTTCCAACGTAGAATTACGTACAACTCAAGGTTTTCAATAACTTTATTGTATAAATAATATAATATGGATAATAGTTGTATGTTATATATCATTTTAGTATATATGGTATTCAAAATAAAAATAATATAATATGTATAAGTCGATGATTTCAAACAATTTGTGGGAATACCAAACAATGTTTTTTTTTTTTTTCGAACTATAATGAGTAATGACATTTTAAATAACTTTCATCCGAGCTCATAATAATAATAATATTACGATCCCTTGAACCTATGAACCGATCGAATACCATCATGGTAAAATATACACACCGATGTACTGAAATTGTCTATACACTACGCCGGTATAGGTTTATAAATATTATTATTAAATTAATTAATAATAATATTATCTATAGTTCAAAGACTTAACTATACAAAGGTTATCACAAGTTTTAGAACCGTTTTCTTATACGGAGTTTGGTGGGAGTTTTTTTGTTGTTGTTATATTATAGATAATAAATAGATACAACTATATATTGCAGACAGGTATAATAAATAAATTATAAATTCAAAATATTTATAATCAATACTACTAATTACTCTAAACCATTGATTATAGAATAATCTATTCTATAATCAATGTCTAAACTGTTTTCTAAACGGAAAAACCTTACACCATAGTTCGGGCGTAAAAATTGTAACATTGTTAAGTATGTTTTACAGGTACCACCTAAAATCGATTATGCATATTTTAGTGCAATATTACTGGACATTTAAAAGTAGGTACTTGTACCAGATAAATATATATATATGATAATATTAGGTATGTTTATATAATATAATGAAACAAAGCATGCCTTAATATTTCTAATATAAATTAACACATAACTTGACGTTAAACATTTAAATTCTAAACATAATCGTATATAGTTATTGATACAAATAAAAACCAACTACCCGATTATAATATGATAGTGATCGGTATTAACTTATATTATTTTAGTAATTATTTATTACTACGCACAACTGCACAAATATGTTAATATAATATTGTGGTTAGTTAATTTGCGACAGTGTTAAATTAATGTAACTCAGTTCTCAACAACATAATCGGAAGATAACACAATCGACAACATTATAGAACGATTAAACAAATTAAGTATGAGTATAATTTAAATATTGCGTTTATATCGGGTTGCACCAAATGTCCAAATTACAAACTGAGATATAAAATATATTTTAAGCACACGAGTACTCCTCGCTGACTAAAATATAATCATTAATCAATTGAATTTATCGGTTATCCTAAATCCCTAAAATTCGCAACTCGTCGATGGAACTATAATGTAGTTTTCAGTCAATTCATCCATCCTACTTGGACACATCTAAAGGTTTCGGGTACAACCGAACCGTCTAAACAGCTAATAATAATATTACGAGAAAACTGCGCAGCACAATAATAATAATTATAAAACAATCGTTCGATTTGTTTTAACTCACGCACAGCGCGATGTGTCTAAGAAATAAAGGCAAGAAAATCTATCTACGAGTCATAAATATTTAATTTTTTGGACAAAAAACTGCGATCGACTAATATAATAATAATATAATACCGATAAAGCTAATGATTTCGCGTTTCTAATCGCCCACTACGACTACGATTATCAAGTCGACATAATATTTTAAGTGTATCTAATAAATCCATTGACTAATATTTTTTTTTTTTATTAAATAGGTGACTAACTATAATTATTTATTCGCAAAGCACTTAATGTAGGACCCTCCAACGTAGTCCTCCTTTACTTCTCGGGGGACTTTTCCGGCGAAACTCCGCTCACGTTCATTCCTTTGTGCAACATGTTATTGATGTTTTCCACCGCTTCGTCTTCGGCGTGAATTTTCCTCAGTGCGTTGCTTACGATGCACAAGTCACCTCTGAGTTCCGACACTAAAGCCACGATCTTGTCCGTATTGCTCAATATTTCCACGCTCTGAGTGTAAGGGTTGTAACGCACTCCAAACGGTTTTTGAATGCTGTCGGCGAATTCTCTGGAATGAAAACAGACGTAAAGATGAAGCCTTACAAGACGTAAAAATCATTTAATGCGCTTATTCCGAATCAATATAATATTTTATTATTGAATAATCATCATCAAAGACTGCAGCTGATAAAATTATAAAACAATAAAAAATTTATTAAATCTTGTACAAATGCATTAATACAATTGCAAATAACCTACAATTATTTATAAAATACGCTTTCCGTTAAAAGTTTAGCTATTTGAGGTCTTAGATTTGAACCACACATCAATTTTAATTCGTGAATATGCTATTAGACTATTTATTTATTTAAAAAGATTTTTAAGATATATATCGTGTATATCACATTATGTAACTAACCTACAACATTATAACTGCAATTAATATTATATAAAAAAATCAATAAAGAACCATTTTTATATTCAAAATTATAACCATAGAATATAACAATTTTTATCTGTTAACATTTTACATATTATACAAATATAATGATTCTCCATCTGCTATTTAAGGTCAAAACACTTCAATGAAGATTAGTTGATAATATTTTATAAACAGATCAATTTTACCAAGTTTTCAGTATTTCAATACTTAAATATTTAAAAATGTTCTCACATCCGCCATATTTACTATAATAGGTACAAGGTACTATTTTATTTTTATAGTTATGAATTTCATTTGGGCTCTCGAAACGTAAGTAATATTATTACTTTAATAGTAAATATAACCCTATTATTAATATAAGCAATAACTATTTCTCTATTTAGAATATTGGCGCCTTAAGTTAAGCTAAAATACCTAAATATAGAAACTGTGTATTCTATTATGTGATTGGCTACAGTGGCGGTTTTTAGGGGGGGGGGGCGAAATTGAAATTACACTAAATGCTTGAATTGCTTTAATTATTGGGGGGAGGCCCAACAATTGAAAATAGCCCCCCCTTGAAGATTTATCAAAACCGCCACTGATTGGCTAGTATTTATATTATAATATTTCAACGAACATTTTTTTTTAAATCGATATTGGTCGTGTGATGGTGACATAAGCGGTGTATGCACTGTACGCATAGAATAATATATTTGAATTATAAATCACCTCATTTTTTCCTTGGCTTCCTCAAATGTCTCACTATAATAGTAGGCATTTTGGTACGATGTTATGATGCATTCTTGATGACAAGTAACTTCGGGGTCGAATCGCTGTAATTTGTCGTTGGTTTCAATCGCATGCCGTAACTCCGCCACCGAGCTTAGCAACCCAGCCCCGTAAACTTTCAGTTCACCATCTTGTTTGCACATTCCGAATTCTACGGTGAAAAAGTACAGCTAAAGAGAACATAAAAATACAGTTGCTGAGTTAAAAAATATTACCCACACATCGTCTAAAAGGAAATCAATGTGTGCGGGTAAGTGTATTCAATACACCGATTTATTTCCTGACCAATCAGTGACTATTATGTACCATTATTATATTATTATGTCACTACTATAACTGTATTAATCGACTCCGTCTAGGTTAAAATTAATCCATCTATCGTTTTCCGTTTCGCTCCAGTCAAAAATCTAATATAGAATACCCGTGAAAAACTCATCGTAAAGTTTAAAGATCACAGCATACAAAATTTGAATACTTTACATATTTTGAGATTCGCAAGATTGGTAAATAAAAAAGAAATAATAATAAAAATAAGATCATATTATTGTTTATTTGCAAAATAGCTAATTTTTCAAGGCTATGTGGTAAACAATGTGTTTTTTCCTAATAAATCCCCGACACCTTTGTGTTTATACAGAGAAACATACAAAAAAAGAAAACATGCAAATTAACATTATTTAAATAAATTGGTTGCATTTATAATTTATATCAAGGTTCCACGACAGTTACTAAATATATAATAAAATACAGGAAATTACATCCAATTAAAATAAGCATCTTATTTTCTCCAATCAGTGGCCCCACATTATTTAAATACAAAAAACTGATGGAGGTTTGTGAGCTGAAACTGCAAAGTGCATGACGTGTGAGTCATTATTTTAGGGAATGGATTCCGCGATGAAAAGTGACCCGTCCAAGGGCTCTTAGGATGAATGCACGAAATTTGGTTGCAATAAATTATCAGCCAAAATCATTTAAAATCTGTGTATTAGTATGAGGAAAAATCATTGCAATTTTATTTTGTATTAATATAATATGTACTAAAATTCATAACCAGTGACCACTAAACAACGCTCACCGTCGCTAACTTTTCAACGTCCTCGTCACTGGCTCCCAACGAGTTGAGACCCAGTTCTTGCGAGAACTGTGCGAACGTGGGATTGGCCAACAGTGGCATGTGGCCCAACAGCTCGTGGCAACAATCCGGTTCCGGTGTGTAGAACGGATCCGACGAATGTCTCATATACTGCGTGCAATGGAACACGCGGAAAGCCAGCCCGGAGAGGAAATCCCTCGGCGACAAGTATCCGGCCACAGGTCGCAACTGAAATCCGGTTTTGCCTAAAAGTCGTGCGTAAGAGTTAACCAACAAATTGTCAATGATCGGTGAAACTAATGTTGTTTAGCAGCGAGCACATATATTGTATCAAAAGGAGAGTGATGTGTTTTTACTTTTTTTTAATCATTCTCCTTATATGATATTATATATTGTACAATATTATATTTTGCTAACAAAATTTTTATCGGTGGCGGTTATTGTAGTATTTTTTTTTTTTTTGTTACTTGGTCGTAGCTAACATCAAACCTACGTCTCGGATTTAAATGCAATCGTCTATTTTTACGTACATATTTTATACCAAAAGGCAAAAAAAAATGAAGGCATGTTTCAGGATTATTATATTATTAAAGTTATTATTATATTATTATATGTACAAAAAGTTGTGTTTCCTAAATTCGTATTTTTTTCAGTGTTCAACATTTAAATATACTTTGCATATTATAGAGTTATTATGTTCACATAAATTTGGGTCTTAATTACAACATGATATTGTATCAGCTATTGCTTGATAATGTGTATTCAAATTATTCATATCGAAATTATAAGTGTGGCATGACTAAAAAATACGCCACAATGCCCGTAGTTGGCACTTGGCACGTGATTTTTGTCTCTTCCTATATTTAATAGTACATATTCGTTTAGAATCTATACTCCTTCCCACGAGAGAAGTAGACAGTTTCGCTTGTAGACTGACGGCCGTCTCGTGGCACAGTTTCCCCACTATGTAACAGTCGGTGACAGTACTGAGACAGTAAGCGGTTGTAGGAATGAGCGGGAAAAGATGAGTTGAAGGGTACAGGGAAAAAACCAGAAAAGTCACTTTTTTTTCCAAAATAGTGATTTCGGTATCAAATTATTTGTATTGGAGTATTCTAAGCTGTCGAAAAAGCAGAATAGTCCAGAGTTATGGACTCCGGAAGTTTAGGCATACAACGAAATAAGAAAAATGTAAAAAACTTAGAAATTAAAAACAAGGTTTTCTCGAAATGAAAAAAGTGACTTTTCTTTTTTTTCCCCTTTACCCTTCATTTTTGGTCGCCGCCCAGTCTACTTCTCTCGCGGGACGTATAGAGCAAGATACCTTTCGGTGTACCGACATTGCCTATACAACGCGCCGGCCAATGGATATAACAACCTTCAGCTGGTTACAACCAACAGTGGGTATAACCGCTTGTGGCACTTACGTTTCAAGAATGTATTTACGTCTTGTAACTGCGGAATGTTGTCCTCTCGGTAACCGCAGTACTTCACCAGCTCCGGCCAGTTCTCCAAGTACTCCCTGCATGCGTGCTTCACGTAGAGTTTGTGAAGTTCACGCATCACGGTGCCCCTGCGGCAAATCATAAACTATGATTTCGATAATTATACTACATTGAGGACGATAAACAAAAATGAATTAACCAATCTGATTGACAATAAAATAGAAAAAAAAATAAATAAACGATAAAAATCGTCGTGTAGAAAAAATAAGAAAAATGTGGGGTGAGGCAGAACAAAACATTATGTCACGTAATATTCTTTATTGGTTATATCTTGGAAAAAACGCATGCAAGCGCGTGTCTTTATTGGTATCGTTTGGAAAATCCCAATAGGTATATATATATATAAATGTATATACCATACATATATATATAAACGTGTATCGATTTCGCCTGAGAAAATTGTTTTTGACGTGATTATTAACGGCGACGTTTCACATACAGACGGTCAGACTTTATTGGATATCGTATCCTGTTCGCAGGATTAAATTCAATTCATTACGTCTTGACAGTTTTGCAGATTTGATTAAATTATCAATGCGAGTATATTCATAAAATGCATACGTGTACACATTTGCTTATACATTATAATCAGACAGGTTTTCGCAGAAAAGGTGAGTGTACATATTATTATTACTACTGTCGAGTAAAGGGGGCCAATGCAAATGCTCTGTATCCGGATAATTCAATAACAGTTTGAATATCGGTGTCGAATGCCGATACAGTATTGGACTACCAGACGTTTATTCGAGATAATCGAATTAATTACCGACCGAGCAACCGAGAACTCTGCCGATGAATAACTATATTATATTTGCAAAAATAAATACATCAGGAAATAGCAATAAAAGAGGAAAACAACGGTCCAAGATATTTTGTTCCGATCCAAAACACACGTTTGCCGTTACGTCCGAGACATTTCGCATTTCCTCGAACACAGATATTTTATTTCGTGTAGGTATTGCGTATACCATGTGAATGACTGTAAAACTGTGATCGGTGACCCTATAGTTTACGGTGTGGCTTAGTTGCTTTTTTTAATTCAGATTAAAATAAAATTACTGATGGCCTCACTTTAACCATGATGTAATAAAGTAAAGGTAAATAAAAATTTAAAAATTGTTACTGACTTTCCGATTAATTAATACACTGAAAGTTTAATTGATAATGAAATACAAACTGAAATGTACGCACCAAGTCTTGATTTCTTCGGGCGTGTACTGAACTCTTGGTATTGGATGTCCACTGAAAAAATTTCGTCACCTTTTAAGTATCGAATCGAAAGTTTTAAAATAATACATATAACGATAATATTGAGTCGAATTGTGTCATAATTACTCGTGTTATTGCAGCAGACCTAATAGCTATGGCCAAAATCGATTTGTCTGATATTAAAATGTTACTTACTATTTATAAGAGTTCGCTATGTGTGCGAATTCTACACGCCTTTTCCGATACACCGGATCCTTAAAACCCTGAGAAAAAAACGAATGAAATATTATAGACAAAGTCTTGATAAAAATATAAATACTCTCAACAACTCATTAAATTCCGTATGAATCACTTACTGGATGGTCAGCGTCCAACTCCGTTCCATACATTAGAACTCGTTGAGCTTTATCTAAATCGGAAATTTTTTTCGGAAACCACGGAAGCTCAAACTCTGAGAAATCTTATAACACAAAAATAACAGTTAAACAATAGGATCTAATAATCAAAGAATATTATGACAAAATATGTTTTTACTCAAACCTAAATTTCGTTGTTTTCTTAAACGATTTCTATATAAGAACACCTAATTTACGCCAATGAAGGGAAAATATATTATTGTTCTTTAAATAAAAATTATTATAATTATTATAGTTTTAAATTTATAAATTTAATTTAATTTTAGTTGTTTGAAAGTAAAATAAAAATAAAACATAATATAGGTAGCAAGTTATTAATAAAAAAAAAAATTTAATGATCATATAATTTAAAACAAATTAGACTTGAATAAGCTTAATTGCATTTTTACCAAAACTAGCCGTCGCTGACATCGGAGTAGGAGGTGGTACTTCGGCACCACTCTCATATGTCGCTAAATTTATAGCTGCAACCTCACGCTTCAACATCCCAGTCAACTGCTCCATTTTTTTATTGTCGCATTCCACATCTACCAGAATTTCGAATTCCGATTTTCTACGGCGGGATGGTCTAGATTCAATGTGCAACACATTTACACCTAAATCCTAAAGAAATAAGATATGTATTGCGTATTGATGCTGTAGTATAACAAACTCTAAGAATTAATAAAAGAAAGTTTTAAAAAAAATAATAAATAGTTTATTATAATTATATTTTGTGATTGGAAATAGGATTATTTAAATTCTCACTACTAAGTCAATATCAAATCAAATATGACTATTATAATATATCTTTAGATCACTGAGGTGGAAAAATAATTAATGCTCAGAACAGCAACACAAAGTGCATGAGTTATTTTTTATATCTTTTTTATGATAAAATCCAAAAAAACTGAACTACGTACCTATATATTGATTTTTAAATTATTGTTTGAATAAGTGAAGTTGTACTTTTTTGTAAAGGGTTTGAATTTTGAGATATTGTCTTTAAGCTCCAATTCGAATTAACATACTTAATTTGTCTTTACAATTTATTTGTAATATATTGGATGTACTATAGGCGTATAACTTAAATAATATAAGATTTTGTCTATATATTAAATGAACACATAAAAAATAAAATATTTTAATTATATTATTCTCCTGCCGTATATTTGTATACAAATACATTCTGACTTAATCAAATATAATGGTGTTAATAATTATATAGATGGATTATAATTAAATTATTAAGTTCCGTGGATTGTTCATACAAAAATTAACTTTACATTGCTTGTTTATATTACATTTTGATTTCATTACGTTTGCTTTTATGTTAAATTATCCATATTGAGTACAATAAATAATTTAATATAATGAAATCTACGTACTTGAAAAACTTGAAGTGCTTGAGCAAGTCCACCAACCCGATTTTTCAATGAGAATATTACAGAGTTCCTTGAATCGAATCTCGTTGGATCTGGTCGACCACTCACTGCAGGTCTCTGTAATATGCATATTGTTTAGCGAAATATTTGATTAAAATTTGTTAAAATTAGTGTATCATACAGATGGTGGAGATGCCTCTCTCAGAGTCCAATCTTCTCCAGTTCGGTAAAGCCAAAGACCAAGGAGACTTTTTCCAGAACCACTCATTTTGAACTTCAATTTAAAAAAAAAATATATATATAATTATCAAGTCCAAATATTAGTTAGTCAATCCCAATCCATGTTAGATTAATTAAAGCATAATAAAAAGGTTTTTGTTTTATGTTATTTACAGTGATTTTACACATGTATTCTATTAAATTCAGCGACTTGGCTAATCAGTTTTTTTGAAGTGTGAATGAAATATTATTTTATAACCAAATCGTTTCTACAATTCTAACAACACAATAATAATACATAATATATGACTTGTTACATTCATGGGTTTTGAGGATGCGATTCCGTCACACTGGAGTGAGGTTGTGAGCTGCGAGCTTTAACGTAATATATTCCGTATTATTAGTTAGTAAATACTAATTGATAATAAACTGAGGAATATTTCAAAATGCCCAATTAAGAAAGATGGAATAATTTGCTCTATCTGTATAAAGGAGTCTTCTTGATATTACTGTCAAGGCTTCAATGAAAATTGATTTTTTTAAATGTTGAATAACACAAAGAGCAGATGGGTATTTGGAGCGATTGCAAGACGGATTGAAAAGACAAAAGTAAAACACAGATTAGTAATGATAAAGGTAATAATATTCAACAATTAACAGAATCGATTAAATGTATGAGCAATAAGTTTGATCAGTTCAATATTACAGTAGGAAAAAAAATTAAAAAATTATTTTTAAAAAACACCCTTTTCTAAAAAAACAAAAAAATAATGAAAAATTTAAAAGTGTGTGGTATAATATGTCAAGTTTAAGAGCGCCACACACTTTTAAATTTTTCATTGTTTTTTTGTTTTTTTAGAAAAGGGTGTTTTTTAAAAATAATTTTTTAATTTTTTATTTTCTACTTTTTAGTTAAAAAAAATTTTTTTACGGATTATTGTATTGTCATCCAAGACCAAGGTCTATACAAATTTTCAGAATTTTTCATCTTCAAAAAGTGCCTCAAATCGAGCGCGCAAGATTTGATCACAGACAGACGTGTAACCAAACTTAAGAAAAGTGTTAAAAATACTGAGCGAGACGAAGAGGATTTACCAAACATACTCACCCCAACTTTTATCCTTTAATAATTAGGGCTAGGATTTTAATGACCCAAAAAACCTAAAAAAATGACATTAAAATAACCAAAAAATGACCTTAAAATAACCCAAAAATGACCTTAAAAAATGCCCAAAAGATAAAAAATGATTTTAAAATGTTATAAAAATGCATTTTAATTATTAATTAATATTTTGGTAAAAAATTATTTAAATTATAATATTATAAAAAAATAGCAAAAAAAATGTTAATTTAGGATTTTCTTGATTTTCTTAATTTACGATTTTCTTGAGTACGAGATGGAGCTTTTAAAAATAATTTCTTCATATTTGATATGAATTCGTTTACTAAAGGGAAATATTTTCTAATTTCTTCCGATACTCTATGAAGAGCATGAGCCAAACACGTAACATGTTCCATATTTGCATACAATAGCTTTAAAGATCTGGCCGCTTTCACCCTCTATGGAGCTGCATCAGTTACAAAATATAAAAGTACATTTTCATGTTTTACTCCATCAGGCCATAAAAGTAAAGGAGATTTATCGAAAAATCTAGCAATTGTTCCATGATTAGCTTTTTCCAGGCATTCGGAATTTAAAAGAAAAGTTTTACCTGGATGATCAATTTCCAACGTTCCAATTATTGCATTAGCAACATATCGACCAGCTGCATCCGAAGTTTCATCTATTGAAATCCAAATTTTTTCCCCGAGGCATATGTTCTTATTTTATTCAAAACTTTTATCGAGAACATCTAGTGTAAATGAAAATGTATAAAAATATTACCTAGATTTCAAAAAAGTATAAAAAATGCCCGTAAAATTGAAAAAATGACCCTAAATCCTTAAAAGTACAAAAAATGCAAAAAAAAGCAAAATAAAAACTATAAATTTGGACTCGTATATGACCAAATCACATTTTGTGCTTGAAAAGCTATGTCCTGTAAATCCTAAAAAAAAATGCAAAATCCTATACTATCCTAGCCCTATTAATAATACATTTTTTTTAAATGCCAAAACCGAAAGAACATATTGTCAATTACTTAGTTTATTTATCATTTAAATGAATGTCCTGTGGTGATGAAAAATTATTTTTTTCAAATAAGTATCTTCTTTTTCTATTATTAACTATTTAAGCAGATCATTTTTTGAAAATTGTAATGCATCTAAATCGAAATTCAAATGAGAAGATTCTCAGTTATCAATGTTGATGGATAATAGTCCTTATTAAAAAAATGTATATTACAAGTATTTTTACAAGAATAATATATTATTTTTAATATAATATATTGTATTGTAATATTAAGAAATATATATAAATTAATGAACTTAAGTCATCAAAACCCGAGAATATATTAATTGTAGCGCCTTTATATTTCCACCTAGCTCCTCCCTCAAACATAATATTACATGTACGAAGATACAGCATGGAGCTGCGGAAAAATACTTGTCGTGACCGAATATCTAGAGGGAACAAAAATCTTATAATGTATTAATGTACTTAAAAACCACTAAAACACCTCGTAAAACAAAGGCCACACGAGCTGCAGACGTTGTAAAGCACATCTAGTAAACTGCCTCCGCCGATTATTCTATACTATATATGGTCTGCACTCAATTGGAAACGAACTAAGCACATTTATCGGCAGCCATGTATTGCTAAATAACAGTGTATCCCAACCAGAGGCTCACACCCAAAGATTTTTTAAATGGAAAAGGATTTTATTGCAAAACTAGGAACGATTCCACCAGTTTTCAGAATCGTGAAGATATTATTAACTATTATTAATATAGATACACGATTCTGTAAATTAAATAGATACCTAATATAGGTATTCACGATTCCACATGATCTTTTTTTGAGACGTTGACATTAAACATTTGTTTGCTCTCGTTGATATAAATTATGCCTTCCTTGTGATATAGTTTATAGCTAAATAGATTCCATTATTATAATTTAAAAGTAAAAAGTATACCGAAAGTCGTGAGAACCGGTGTAGAGTATATTTATTATGAATAACATTAAAATAATAGTTAGAAAATAGATAAATATTTTACCTTATTCATAATAACTGTGGTGTAGATATACGTAATATACCATATACCATTTTTAATATCTTTCTATTTATCAATTTATTATTTTTGTCTATACAATATAATAATATATAAACACGCGTTAAGAATAATGCTTACTCTGCGAGCGTGCTAAATTCCAGATTTCTAAGCGTATTTTAATATTACATAACGTCTAAACTACAATTGCATTCACAATCTAACAAAATGTATGTTTTTCTACCTACTTTTTAATATTGGATAGTATATTATGAATCTAAATAGGTACTCATAATTTGATATTTTTAATACTGGATAGTATGAATTTACTTTGAAAAGAGCCGTTATTAAACTATTTATTAGTTAAACTGTAGTTATATTTTAGTTAAGTGTATTTGTAGTTTTTGTTTTGAATATTGAATACTTATATATGTTATACTGCAAAAATTAATATCAACAATCATAACAATATACTGGTAAATAACGGACGGACGAACGGACACAACAGGGGTATAAGGTGTTCTAAACGTATGCTTATAAATCTATAATGAATCTTTCATTCTTTCATTTTCTGTCGTCTATAAACATAAAAACTACTAAACCGTTTTTAATAAAAATTCTATGAAGATTGAAGACTACTTGAGATTTTAGGAAGGTTTGTAATTTCGTTTTTTAACGAGAAAATAACTATAGGGTCACTAAAGTGACTCACACGTGCATTTTGTATCGGCTCACGAAAATCGAATGTTTCTGATAGTAAAATAGTTATTATGATTGGATACAATTTTCTGTTTTGTATTATATTTTGTCATTTAGGCTGCGAGTAAAGCTATTATAATAATTCTATATATACACTGGCATGTCAAATTGAGTAATAGCTATTATGTATATTATATGAGTCAAAGTTTATAGTTAATGTTTATTTACTAATATAATACTCGACCGGCTTGGATAAAAAGCAATCAAGAATATTTCACCAGAAGTAAAATGGAAACGATGGTTAGACAGACGATAGTAGATAGTCGGCTAACACAGACATTACTAATCAGGATATATCTAAATGAAGCATACAATACAAATAAATGAATGAAAACCCAGAGTTTTTAACCAATATTGTCACCAAATTTTTCACACATATCATTTGGGATCCCGTGGAGGTGACGAGTCTCGTAAGAATATTACTTAGAATAGATGCCACTGTTAACAGCTATTAACTATTATTCTACATAATGTATATAATCTATACATATAAAAGTCAAAGAATATCTGTACCTATGACTTTTATGCATTCCTAAATCGTTCATCCGATTGCGATGAACTTTGGAACAGAAATAGATTAGACCTCGATGTAGAAGATAGTCTTCATTTGGACGTGAAAAAAGTCAAATAAGAAGTCCACCTGGGGAGGTTCCCAGACAGGGATTCAAACAGGGTCTCGAGTTCAAACGACGGTTTTGGTGGAAAAATTGTTTGCATTGTTTTTTTAAATTTTTGTTTTTAAATGGTTGCTATTGATTTTAATAATAATAATTATTATTATTTTTGTTTTTTTCTTATTTTTCTTCTTTCTATACATGTTAATAATGTTTTTTTTTATGTCCGCCATCTACCGCAGGACGCAGGTAGATTTCCTACCTGATAATATACTGTTCACATAATCATAAGCGAATCTCACGGACGACTCCGATCGGGATGGCTATAAATTAAAATATAATATCACATTTAAACTTAAAAATACATTGCTTCCACAGCATGAAACACCCAAAAAGAGTTGAACAATCACAAAAACCTAGCAATAACAACGCATTGACGTGTCTGCTAGTATACCCATGATATATAAATTGGTTTTTTGAACATCTATTCGTTTATTAGCTATAGACATTCAAAAACTACTGGGCC